TAGGTGTGCGCCACCACGCTCAGCTAATTTTTTGTCTTTTTGGTAGAGATGGAGTTTTGCCATGTTGCCAAGGCTGGTCTCAAATTCCTGAGCTCAGGGATCTGCTCGCCCTGCCCTCCCAAAGTTCTGGGATTACAGGCATGAGCCACCGCCCCTGGTCAGAACTCCCAGTTTTTTTTTCAGTCAGGAAAATCAAGAGTCCTGATGAGTTCACAGTCACACCAATTGTGGTTAGATCTTTGGCCTTCTAGCATCCCCATTACACATGCTACTTTGTTTCTCAGTGAACTTATACAGATAATAGGTCTTTACTTTAAGCAGATATATTTTAATTTACCTAAAAGCATTAACTACTTTTTCTACTTTATTGCACCCTATAAAAGTGGACATAGTTGGAACTCAGTGGATGCTTGCTGAAGAAAGAAAATGTGTATTCTTGTCTACAGGTGTTTTCACAGCTGCAGGAGTATCTTTCTAAAGCTTTCCCAGGTCTTAGTCATCAAAAAAGATAAAGACCATGGCTTTTATGTTACATCATTTCTCACAGAAGGAATGACTGATACATGACATGTGAAAGCAGGATTGCTTTCTCAGGTAAAGGAATTACTACAAGAGCTATTAATACTTGGAGTCACTAAGTCAGGTTAAAGTTTCCACAGGAAATCTATAAAAGAGAAGATTTTTAGACTTATAGATTCCCACTGGAAATCTATAAATTTCCAGTGGGAATCTATGAAAGAGAACTCAAAAGTTGCTTCAGGGACAAATGGAGGGAAAAAAATAGTCAACCTTCTGTTTAGAATGTGAGCTAATAACACAGCTGTTACCCTGATGGTAATTCCTGCCTACTATTTATAAACTAAGAGTTGAGACAAAGTATGAGATGACAAAATTTTCTAAATACAATGCAAAATAAAATGACCTAACGGTCCAAAATTCAGTTCAATAGGTGAAATTTAAAACTTTATCTTTCTAAAGTAGGAAAGATACAAAAAAGGTACAAAAAACACAAAAATGAAATAAATGGAAGATATAAAGAATTTCTAAATGAGTAAATAAAGAATTGAAGTGCTAAACTAATGCAAGACACTATGAAAAGGAAAACAATTTCAAAGACTAAAACATAAAGAGTAAAAGTCTAGGAAGACTAGGAGGCTAACATATAAAAAGTTAAAAGCAAAAGAGACACACACACAACACCCAAATACGTATCAGCTAAGGACAAAAACTGAACAAAAATTAGAAAGAGTAAAATTAGATTAAAAAGATACTTTCCAAAATGAGAAGAATCTGCCCAAGTGTCCATCAATAGAAGAATGGATAAACAAAATGTGGCTTATACATACAATGGAATATTATTCAGCTATAAAAAGAAATGAAGTTATGATACGGGCTTCAACACAGATGAACTTTGAAAACATCATGCTAAGCCCCTAAACTGCATACTTTAAAATGGATAAAGGCGAAAACTTTGTTACACATATGTTTTACCCAAAGAAAGGAGAAAGCCAAAACAGACTAAAAAGAAAAATCAGTAAGCAACAAAACCAGAAAAATATTAAAATAAAAAATAAAATATTAAGATCATAAATGTGTGAAACTGTTGCAAGAATATTACCCCCAAATGTCATTAAGGAACCTAAGAAGTAAAAGGTAGGAGAGGGATTTCAAAGCGGCAGCAGCACAAATTAGACAATTTAATTTCAAATAAGTAGGATGACCATATAATTTACCATCCTAACCAGGACACTTTTGAGAGGAAAGGGGACACTATTAATAAGTACACAGGGACAACAGGTGTAGACTGGGGCTGTCCCTGACAAAAATGGATATGTGGTCACTCTCTACATAAGGGCAATCAGGTTCTCAAGGCTGAGTTCATGCCCACAGCTTGGAGTCTTGCCAGAAATGCAATACTCTGACAGTGTCTTTCTGAATGACTCCAGTGGTCAAAAACGCAAGACAGTTTTTCATTTTTTTACAGAGAAATAAAACACAATTCATAGCCTTTACTGAAGTTTACTGATTCAAGATTCATAAAACAATTGTTATTAGCATATCATATTTTATTAAGAGCTATAATTTAGTATTCTAGGAATTTTAGAAGGGTGAATTATACTTTGAAATGCACTGGCAGGCATACTAAGGAAGTCCTGAGGTGAATCATTTTTTATAAACCTACATTTTTATATTGCCTTAGAGCCCTATAAATATATGTATATCCCCCCCCCTTTTTTTTTTTTTGGATGGAGTCTCCCTCTGTTGCCTGGGCTGGAGTGCAGTGGCACGATCTCAACTCACTGCAACCTCTGCCTCCTAGGTTCAAGGGCTTCTCCTCCCTCAGCCTCCCAAGTAGCTGGGATTACAGGCGGTGCCACAAAGCCTGGCTAATTTCTGTATTTTTAGTAGAGATGGGGTTTCACCATGCCATGTTGGCCCAGGCTGGTCTCGAACTCCTGACTTCAGGTGACCTGCTGGCCTTCAGGTATCTGCTTGCATATACTCTTTTTATACGTATATTTGACAAGAGAGAATTGAGACTTGAAAATTTGAAAAATCAAGTTAGAATTACTGAGAAAATTAGTAGCTCTGACATTGTACCCATTCTTTATTTTTAAACTAAAATTAATCTTAATGACCTACAAATAGGTTAACTTAAACAGTCCATACCTTACATGAGAAGCTCCGACTTGGGATGTTTCTTGCTAACTCTGATATCTTGGGTTTATTCTGAAGATACTTGGTTAGGTGATATTTTTTCAATTTTATTCTATTGTAATAATGATCAGCGAAGTTACAGTGATTCAATGGTTGTTTCTGCATGCATTTTCCCAGTTGAGGAATACTATACTTCAAAACTTGGAGAAATAATTTGGTCTTCTGCTGCATGATATCAAAGTCCCTGGTTTATGCTCCCTTTGGGGCTGGCAGCACACAAATGATTTTATAGGTATGATTACAGAGTAGTGGGTTCTCAGAGTATCTAAGATCAGCAGTTCTCATCCCTCCATTTCAGGGCCATTCCCGGCTTAGGTTATGAATAACTTCAGACAGCTGATAACTTAGGCTAACTAAATCTAAAAACTTGTATAAGTTAAAGTTTCATTCAAATCATACTTCTTGGCAGATGTGACTTAAATGTCTCACTTGCACAGTCAGTCCTATCAGGCTCAAACTATGCAGCACTGATTCTGGCACACAAAAGGGCAAACTAAAACAAAAAAGAAGAAACAAAAAACAAAATAAAAATTTGCAAATAAGTATAGAGACTTAATGGGATATCTCTGGAACTCAGGGTTGTAAAAGGCAAAATGCCTTTGGTCTTACATAATTACGAACATGTGGGGATAAACTAGAAAAGCCTAATTAGTTAATCAAGGTGGGGAGGAAAGATCAATTATTGCTGAGTGTTGACTAAGTGCCAAGTGCTTTTATCTTCTTTGTCTAACTTAAATTTCATATGGACTTGATAAAGTATTTATTATAATGCTCATTTTACAGGTTGCCAAACTGTGGCTGTGGGAGGTTTTAAGCAACTGTCCTAGGTCACTTGGACAGTAAGTTGTAGAGCAAAAACCCAATTTGATTTGGCTCCAAATATTGGACATAATCAACTATGGATTTTTAACGTTAAAAAGGTATTTAGCACATTAATTAAGAACAGCAAAAAACGCCTGCAAGATGCACAAATCAATGTGAGGTCATCTCTGGTTTGTCAGGAGGTGGCTTTTATTAACCTTGAGAGCTAATAAGCAGTTGAGAGTCAGAGACACCTGGGTTGAGGTCTTGGCCCCTACACTTAACTGTGTTTCTGGGCCTCAGTTTCTTCATGTGGAAAAATGAAATGACACCATTTACCTTGCAGGGTTGCTGTTGTAAAAATAAAATGAGAATTTATGTTAAGACCATACAGTGCCTGGCACGTAGTAACCACTCAATAAATGGCAGTTGCTATTATTTACGACAGGAATAATCTAGGTATGTTGCACACTGCTGAACGTGATTATAACGTGATTTTTGTCTTCCACAAAATGCCCCCGGTATCAAAGGTAGAATGCTGGGTCAAATTTACCGTAACTCAGATTCGCTACGACGCCCCCGCCCCCCTTAATCCCTTTCCATGTCGCAGCAAAATAATGGGCGATTGGGCATAGGGGAGCAATAGCCGACACTAGTAAAAAAGGGGGAAAAAAAAAAAGACCCGAATAACAAAGGCCTGCAAAGGCCCTACATCGCCGTGTCTCCACAGCCTTCATCCATCCATCTTTCACCCTAAAGACAGTATGCAAGGCTAGGATGGGGGTGGGGTAGATAAATGGGTGTTCTCGGGAGAACCTATTCGTTTTCCCCGTGCAACTTCTCCATCCCAGGGTTGAGCGATTTGAATGCAACAGGGAGAGGGACCAGGTGACACGCACGCAGTGCTGGGACATGAGTCAAAAAGCAAGGACCTGGAACTGAGGGGTGGGTGGCTGGGTTGGGGGAGGAAGGGGAGAAGGGAAGAGACCAGCACACCCCCCATACATACGCAAATTGAGAGAATGAGTCCGCCTCTGGACACAAACCAGTGAAGGCACGCCGGAGAAACTGAAGCTCTCAGATAAGAGCAGGTCTCAACGGAGGCACGTCCAGCCGAAGTCTGCGGTCCGCAGCCCACAGAACGACAACCTACCCAGAGCCGCCCAGAGCTGGTTTGCAGCACGCCGATCTACGTAACCCCAATCTAGCACGAGCAACAGGCAGATTTAGCCATCTTTGTTGTGGTCACGGATTTTTTTCTTGGCTTCCTGGGTTCTTTAGTCTCCAAAGATAAAAGACTCTTGGCTCTTTGGTAGTTTTCTGAGCTCGAGATGAAGCAGGGAAGGCTAAAACAGTGAGGGACAGCGTTCCAGTAGCTCTGCCACAGCTCTCTCACCCTCTGGCCCGCCCTCACTCAAGATGGCTACCAGCAAAATGGTGCAATGACGTGACAGCGCTGCCCTGGTTGCCAAGGAGACGCGAGTACCGGAAATGCGGAATTCGGGGAGGGCTCGCACGCCTGGGCCGATAGAAGTGGGGGTGGGGTGGGGCGAGCGTCACAGGTCCTGACAGGGAAGAAGTTGGCAGGTCCTGGCAGGGGACGAGCTGTGGCGGGGGCACCTCCGGGTATGGAAGGCTCCAGTGAGATGGAGTCGCGAGTTGCCGACAGTGGGGCCGGCGAGACTGCGCCAGCAGCGGGCGGGGATCCGGCAATTGGCTGCACCGCTCGGGGGCCCGTAGTCTCGGCGTCCCTGGGAGCCGCCCGGTGGAAGCTCCTGCGGCAGGTAAGGGAGAACCCGCTCGCCTCACCTTTGCCTCTGGTCACTTTCTTCGCTGGTACCCGGCGTGCGACCGGTCGCTGCTCTTTCTCCTTGGCAGCTCTGGGAGTTTCTTCTCAGTTTGCCGGGAGCCACCTGCGAAGCGCCCCCTCGCTTCACCTAATCATCCCGCCAAGAGTAGGAGTTTTGTGAGGTTGAGTGGGGAGGGGGACAGCCAAGGCTGAGCTCCTGGGAAACTCAGATCGAAGTAGAAGAACCCCTTCTAGACTTTTATTTGCGTCTGGGGGACTTTTCCCCTTCTCACCTGTGTCTGGTGCGCCCGCCGCTCCCCACTGCTCTTTTCTTCTGTTTTGCCTCCTTCCCTAGCTTTCTTCTAGAGTCGTAACTTCCAGGCTGGTTCTCGTTACACATGTTCGTCTGCACCCTCTTTTGCCCAGCGTGGTTGACTGTGCAGGGACTGAGACACTGCACGCGTTCCCTTGGCTTCTTCCGTCCAGCGGAGCGTGCAAGGAGTGGGAAGAGCTGCCCGCCTCTCTCACCGAGGTCTGAAAGTTGAATGGTTATCTCGTAGTTTGAGGTGATGAGCAAGATGCTCCGCGTCCAAGACGGGCTAGTCAGAGTGTGTTCGTTTGCTGAATGACGGTATCTTCTGGTACTTCAAAGTTCCTGCTGTTACTTACAACTTCACTCATGTGCAAGCTTCACGGAAGTTCTGATTTATGATCACTGACATTCTTTGCAAACTGCTTGAAGTGATGTCTGGTTATTGTTTTTACATCACTTTTATGCCTCTGCCTGAAGTTTTCTGCTGAAAATTTTACTCAGAAGGACTTTTTTTTTTTTTTGAGATGGAGTCTTGTTGTGTTGCCCAGGCTGGAGTGCCATCTCCGCTCACTGCAACCTCCGCCTCCCGGGTCCAAGCGATTCTCCTGCCTCAGCATTTTTATTAGAGACAGGGTTTCTCCATGGTGGCCAGGATGGTTTTGAACTTCTGACCTAGTGATTCACCCGCCTGGGCCTCCCAAAGTGCTGGGATTACAGGTGTGAGCCACCACGTCCGGCCGACATGTTTCCATTTCTGACAGTTGTATTTGGAAGAGTTTCCCAGCTATTGCCACTTTACTTGAGATTGTGCTTTTAGTATTTGGAGGGTTACTTTGTTTGCAGTTGCCTTGAGTCACCTTTTCATACAGTGGTCTTTTAGTGCTGTTATGAAGTAATGTTAGAGTTAAGTAGATCATTAGAGTTAATTAAGATGTATTTGCTGATGCATCGAGAGTCTTTCCAGAGCAGTAATGATCTAGTTTTGCTATTGTTACAAATGATATTACAGGATAAGAAAATGCGGCCGGGCGCGGTGGCTCACGCCTGTAATCCCAACACTTTGGGAGGCCGAGGCGGGCAGATCACGAAGTCAAGAGATCGAGACCATCCTGGCCAACATGGTGAAACTCCGTCTCTACTAAAAATACAAAAATTAGCCGGGAGTGGTGGCGTGCACCTGTGGTCCCAGCTACTCGGGAGACTGAGGCAGAGGTTGCAGTGAGCCGAGATTGTGCCACTGCACTCTAGCCTGAAGACAGAGCAAGACTCCATCTCAAAAAAAAAAAAAAAAAAGGAAAGTAAATGCATGACCTCACAGATCATCATAGGAAGTGTCTGTAATGAAGTAAACATCGGATTTTTTTTTTTTAGTGACCCCTGAGATGGGATCTTGCGTGAGCTGGAGAGAGTGGACTCAACACCTTCCCCTGTCCCTTGTGTTTCTTTTTTGATACAGAGTCTCACTCTGTCGCCCAGGCTAGAGTGCATTGTCATGATTTCGGCTTACTGCAGCCTCTGCCTCCCAGGATTCAGCAATTCTCCCTTATTCAGCCTCCCGAGTAGCTGGGATTATGGGCGCCCGCCACTTCGCCCGGCTAATTTTTGTATTTTTAATAGACACGGAGTTTTGCTGTGTTGGCCATGCTGGTCTCGAACTCCTGACCTCAGGTGATCTACCTGCCTCAGACTCCCAAAATGCTGAGATTACAGGCTTGAGCCACTGCGCCTGCGACGCCTACCTCCCAATCCAGGTAAATGCAGTCCAGGTAAAAGCATCCTCCCACCTCAGCCTCCTGAGTAGTTGGGATTGCAGGGGTATGCCATGATGCCTGGCTTTCAGTGATTCTTAGTATAGCAAAAACTCTAGCACTTAGGTTCATGCTAAATTGCGGTCTAAATGAGAACAGTGACAAGTTTCAGCTGCGGCTGTTATATGAATTCCCCACATGTTTTGACATGAAACTTTTGGTATACATCTGCCTGCTTAGAGTCTTTTTATCTTCTTTACTTGGTGAATGATTGCTCATTCTTCATACTTCAATTTCAAACTACTCTTCTGTGAAGCCACCCCTAATGCCTCTGGGCTAAGTTAGACCCTCAGCCCACTCTCCAGTGAGCTCTTTATATTATTTTATGATTATGTGATCAGGGTCTCTCTTCCTTACTAGAATGGGCATTCTCCCTGGGAAAAGGCGATGCTTTATTAATTTACATCCTCTGCACCTAGCACAGGGCCTGGTTAATTGGTTTTTAGCAGGTGTTGTTAAGTGTCTGTGGGAAGCCTGAGAGTAAGGACAGTCTTGAAGTGGTTAACCTACTCCTTAGTGTATTTTTGTTGAGAAATGCTGAGGATATGATAAAATACATTGCTAAGAAGAACAATGGCAAGGAAAACTTTGCCACCACCCCCGAGTGGAAAACTACTTGGGGCATTCTAAAAGTAGCAAAACAGTATATATCATACACCGGTTAAAACAATTCTTTAAGCATGGCATGTGTGACCCTGCCCCCGTGGCTGCCTCGTGGAGAATGTTTTCTGGTTTGTCCTTGATCAGTGGTAAGCAGGCACCAGCTGCCTACCTAGTTTATCTTGGTTCTATGAGAAAACACGGAACACCTGTTTGTTAACAATCATCTGTTCAGAGAGAATAAAATACTTGGGTCAGAATCTGCTCCAGGCCCTCAGCCTGGAATGCTATCAGCCCCCTGAGGCTCTCAGCTTGGAAGGCTGTTGGCCGTTGGATAGTCCCGCTTTGCTGTTCTATCTGGGTGTCTGCTTCTTAATGCCTTCAGTGCTGCCTGGGTGGGGGCTTCTACGACCAAGCTGGTCTCAGTATATTTTATCAGTTAGCTATTGCTGAGTAACAACCACAACATTACAGTGGCACACAACAGTATTTATTTTGTTGGTGCATCTGGGGGTCACCTGGGAACTGACTGACATAGGCTGTAGTCACCTGGGTATCTCTATGATGCACATGTGGTCCAAATATCTCTAATCTTTGGACTAGTGGGCTCAAGTCTTCATGGTGATAGCAGAGCTATAAGAGCAAGCCCAGCCAGAGAAACACATTTTAAACCGCTGCTCACGTCATGTGTTGACTTCCTATTGACCAAAGTAAGATATTTCGCAAAGGCCAAAGTCAAGGGTCAGGGAAGTACAACTCCTTCCTTGCAGGTGACAAAGAGAACGTGAATCTTTTTCTATTATAATTTAATCGATCACATATATTAAACATTTTTAACTCTTAATAAATGTGTTTCAAATGAATGAACCATTCTTACCTTATATGCATCTAGTACTGGAAAACTATAAGGGATCTAAGTAAGCAGTACTAGGGATGTGTGACTCCTTTTCTCTCTCATGGGACATCTGCAGAACATCTGCTCTGCTTGTTTTTTCCCTTACAATTCTGTCTTTCCATTACCTTGTAGGGCTTCAATGCTGTCTCATGGCCTTTTACTTTATGTTAACTGTTCAGTATTTTCTGTGTTTCGCAATTAACAATTTTGAGAGAAAATCTGGTCGACCTAGTTCATCATTTGGTTCCAGGTTACATGATAAGTTGCCAACATTTGAGTTAAGAGAGTACTTAAATTAGATGAGGTCTGGAAGTTTATGAATCAGTATCAGTAGAAGTTATGGATGTTGTTCTATTTTACTCTTTGTTGAATTTCATTACATGTTGGCAAAGATGGCCACTGGCAACTCCAGGCTTTCATATTCATCCAGCTAGTAATCCAGAAGACATAACTCTTTTCCCCAACATCCAAATCATTTCCTCCTAAGGACTGATATCTGATAGGCCAAGGTTAGACCAATTGCTGTGTCCAGAATGGGGCACTTTGGCTAACCTGGGTCATCAGCCCACCCTGTGGCAGGTGAGGTAATAACCTCACTAGAATTACACAGAGTGAGGGAGGAGCAGTTCCTAAAAGGAAGCCCCACATAGGGCAGATGAAAAAGTAGCAGTGACTGTTAACACACGTATTCACAAACCACCTACTGAATGAAAAATCTTGCCTATAGGTATAATACTTGGCTGAAGAATCGGATTATGGAATATTTCACAGTACAATTTATATTAAAGCAGGATGCTTTTGACTAATTGAAAAAGTTGGTTAAGAGGTGAATTGTAATAATGAAGTTATTTTCTGAGTGTCAAATCTTTCTAGATATTTATAATTCTTCAAATGTTTATAGTTAGCTTCCAATACCTAAATTGATAGTAAATTTTTAAGCAACTTACCTTTATCTTTCTAAAACATTCAACTTGGCTTTTAGGAAAACGACAACTCTCTTTTAGCTGTATGTTATTAGTTTTATAATATTTGATTAATAATAAGTTAAATATTTAATTGAGGAAAATTTAATTTGTTATTTTGAAGAACAAGTGGTATAAAAGGTTTTTGAAGTGGCACAGTTAACTTGCAAGCATGCAACTTGACGCTGGCATCAGATGCATCTAAATCTTGCTCCAGTCCTAGGTCTACCACTTACTGCATCATGCTCTTCACTGATCTACATCAAGTATTTAGATTGTTATAGAATGTATTTTTGTTTCACTTTTATTCTTGACTTTGTTTTATATTCTTACCTTTGCTTTCTCTTTTTCTCATCCACTCTTCATAAATATTATCTTGTGGTATTGTGCATCTTTTTTTAAGCCATCTTAAATCCT